CCAAGTGTGGTACCAGGCACATGGGACTGCACGGAATAGAATACTTAATAATAGAAGAAAACAGTTGCAATATAGTACGTGAGAAAAAGGATGAAAATTACATGTGTGTGTGTTTACACAAATATATATATATATATATACACATCTATATATAATTCAAAATTATGCATAAAAATATTGGAAACATATGCATCAAAATGGTAACTGTGGTTAGCAATAGCTTATGAGATTATGGTGATTTATCTGCCTTCTCTGTGTCCTTCGGAGCTTTCCCAAATTTCTACAGTTAACTAATAAATTTAAAAATCAGAAAAAAAGGTTTTTCATCAAGACACCTTTTTTCCCATAAAACAAAGCCCCTGCTGGAGCTGGTGTTAGATACAAAATCTGTGTAAGTGACAATGGAAATACTAATACTTATTTAACATACATTAGGTGCCAGACACTGCAGTAAGTACACTACATAAACTCTCATTTAGTCCCCGCCCTCTGTGATGCAGCTATTGTTCTGAGCCCCATTCTGCAAATGAGGAAGCTCAAGCTATTCCCGGAAATGACACAGCTGGGAAGAGGTGCAGACCAAAGTATGAGTCCAGGGCCTCCGACTGCAGAATACCCTCTCTCCTGTGCCGGCCGCTAGGATTCCTGCCTCCATGCATGCTCCTTCCCCAAAACCTAACTTTTTGTTCCCGATTTTTATGTCTGCCATGCTTTTTTTAACTCTCTCCCTTTGGGAGGGGGATGGAAATAGACTATGTATGCACTTCTTGCATGTGGTGGAAATCAGACATCTGCTACCCATACAGTATCTCTGCTTTATACACATGCACCTTCTCAAGGTAGACTTGGGAACATGCAGAACTAAGGAGACACTAGCAACAACCCCTAGGCAAGCCAACCCCCATATCAGCGCTAACAGCAACACGAACCTCCCCTTCTGGACCCTGTCACAGGTGTAGTTTACCTCTGATTGTTAGCTGATTGCTTCCTATGTGCCTGACAGTCTTTTGAGCACTTTATATGGATTGCTATTCTTCTTACCATTATTGTCCCCATCTTATACATAAGGAAACTGAGGCCCAGAGAAGTTAAGAAACTTTCCCAAGGCCACACAGCTAAGCTAGTAAGTGACAGAGCTGGGTTTGACTCTGACTCTAGAGTCATCACTCTCAAATGAATGAATGAATGAATGAATGAATGAATGAATGAAGGTATACTCTCCATTTCCTAAAAAATGCCTTCTATCTCTTATTAGGACCGTTTAGTTTTTATTTCTATAGGTCCTGAATATTTCTCCTAAGGCATATTTTTAATATTTTTTATTTTGTTGCCATTCTGAATGGAATTTTTTTAAGTGTATCTTCTAACTGGTTATTTGAGAAAGCAAGAAAATTGTAGATTGAGTTTCCAGGTCTGTAACCTTTGTAAACTTAACTGAACTCTCCCATTAACTGAAATAACTTGAGTTAGAGCTCCATTACATTAGCTATATAATCTCTTAATTTCTGTAAGAAATTTTTTCTCCTCCTTTCCAACAAGGAGTTACCCTTTTTTTCATGTTGTCCAACTACCCTGTCAGGCTCTCCCAAGACAACATGAAAGAACAGTGGGAGCAGGCATCCACGTCTGGTGTTTTATTTTATTGGAGATGCTTCTAGTGACTCAACCTTAAGAATGACATTGGCTGTTGGCTCAACACCCCTTCATCATAGTAAGTAACATGTATTCGAGTCTTTAAATCTCTTTGACTAAGAGTTTTTATCAGGGATGGATACTAAAGTGATCATCAAATGCATTTCAGTGCTGAGATAATTATGATTTTTTCCTTCTAGCTATTCCTAATAAATACTGTTAATGTGTTTTATCTCTTTATATCATCAGCTCTTAATTTCTACTCTTTCTACTTGGTCTAGCTGTAGAGGTTTTTAGTATGACGAAATTTAAATTTTGTTTAATTTTGTTTAACAGATTTTTATGTGGATTAAAATGTTTGATTTTAATTTTTATTTGGTTTAAATTTAATTATTTTAATTTGAAATTAATTAGGATTTTTAAAACTACCTCCACTGAGATTCACTGCCCATCTTCAGTGTCTCTTTACTACCTACACTAAGGCCCAATCCACCCTCTCTGACACCAGCAGAGACATTTTCCTAAATCACAAGCATGGCTTTTTCTCCTCTTACACCCAGAAATCTGTACCACCTCTATGCTTTCTGTGTGATAAAGTACACATCTCTCAGCATAATTGTTACCCTGCATAAGATGGCCCCAAGCTACCTTTTAACCTTCATTTTAACCATGATTTCAAAGTGCCCCTCACTCATGACTCCTTTCCCAGGATTTGCCTGGAAGATCCTTCCAATTTTCTTCACTGGGACACTGTTTACTTCTTGGGTCAACACAACGGCCTCTTCCAGGCGCTCCCGAGTTCTCCCCACCATCTCGCCCCTGCTTCAGCTTTGTCTCAGGAGCACCAAGCGTACACCTCTGCCCTGGGACCTGCCACAGCCTGACTTGTACAAGGTTACTCATTTCAGGTAGGGGTCGGCAAGCTTCTTCTGTGGAGGGTCAGATGGTAAATATTTTAGGCTTGCTGGGCCATATTTGATCTCTGTTGCATTTCTTGTCCTTACACTTTGATAATGTAAAAACCATTCTTAGCTCACTGCCCACAAAAAAAAATGTTTGATTTTAATTTTTATTTAGTTTAAATTTAATTCTTTATTTTAATTTGAAATTAACTGGGATTTTTAAAACTATCTCCACTGAGATTACTGCCCATCTTCAGTGTCTCTTTACTACTTACACTAAGGCCCAATCCACCCTCTCTGACACCAGCAGAGTCCCCAACTATGGGCTGTAATTTGCCTACTCCGGGTTTAGAGGTTCATCTCTCCCACTGGGCTGCAAGCTACCTGAGAGGGCACAATCTCCAATTAACCTTTTTTTCCCCAGCTCCTGCCACATAAAAGATGGTCAACCATTGAAGTCAACTGAACTGAAACATCAATAATGAATTATTCTAATGAGTCAAATACATCCCTAGATAATTTCCCCAAATCTTGAACCATTTCAACAAAAACCCATTTTGTATTTTGAGACTCTTAGGCATCTGGGCATTAAAAGTAAGCCATATCCCCAAGTGACAGAAGAGATAGATGCTTTCTGCCTCATTTAGTAAGAACGACGCTGTTCAGCCAAAGAGACTGTCCCTCCCCAAATGCAGAAAGAGTGCTTCTCCTAGGAGAGACCCCGCTGCTCCCTGGGACTCCCGACAGGAGGTAATGCCAGTGAGCTCCAGCTCTTCAAGTAACCCACTCGGAGGCTCATCGCAGAAATCCATCAGACTTCTGATGCTATTCTGAATACTTGCCAGGTATCCAGACTTGTTCTCAATCATCTGTTTATCTCCCCTCTCACTGTAACTGGGAGAAAGCACTGTTCTGTCATTAAACATTAGCTGCTATTGGTTATTGGGAGTTGTTATCGCTGTTGCCCCCGCGCCCTGGCTTTCCCAGCCCAGGCGATCCGCCCCTCCCTGCTTAGGGAACCAGCACTGTCAAGGTGTTGGAGGCGGGCCGCGCTCTACTGGGCTCATCGCTGTCTTCTCGGAGGGCTCGACACCTGGCTTGCTGGGCCTCCCACAGTGTGAGCTGGACAGGAAGGAGAGAGCCAGGAGCAGACAGAGCTGTTGCAAGGAGAAATGGCCCCCTGCACACCTGCGCAGACAGGCCGAGTCCAGCACTAAGTTTCCAAGGGAATCAAGGCTAATTCCACTCATGCCTCCAACAGGCAGGCTTTCCTGGGCGCAGGGAGACAAAGCATCAGTGGTCCAGATGGCATCAGGCTTCGACCAGGCCTAACACCCCAAAAACAAAGCTGGCAGAGGGAAAGCTGGACGTGCTGTTGGGCGCCCGGGGCTCGGGGTGGGGAGGGAAGGGGGGGGGGGCACTCCAGGCCCAGGGATTGTCTGGAGAATGAAGCAGGAAGGAGCCACTGGGCACAACACCCTGCAGAGGGCAGGTTAGACCCAGCACAGCCCCCAGTGCCTGGAGCACCTGGTGGGTTTCAGCAAAACAAATTCCAAGCCCCGCTTTCTAGAGGAGTGAGGGCCTCGTGTGCTCCAGAATGGAGATGAGGGCTCCGGCAGACGGCCGTGAAAACCCACCTGCCCCAGACGATGCCCACAGGTCTGCATGGGACTAGCCACGTGGAGGGCTTGGCCGCCTGCGCGCCAGTCATCCCCGGGAAAGCCACCCTCTCACACATAAAAGCTCCAACTCCAAATGATCTGTTCACACAGTCACAGCTAAGCTGCAGGCTCTGCCCAGGACAGGATCAGTGGCCCCGCCAGCTCCAGGCACCCAAGGGAGCAAGGCCAGGCCCTCCCCCGGGCATCCGCACCCACCTGCGCTGTGCTGCCCGTGCCAGGGCTGCCCAGGCACAGGTACACCCACTGTGTGCAGTAAGGGCAAAATCAAAGGTGGTAAAACATGCTACCAAGAAGAGGACCAACACTGCAAATGGAAAGAGAAGGAGTGAGAAAATGACACGCTGCCCGTGCACACCCAGTGGGTCACAGCCAGCCCTGCCCGCATGGCGCTTAACCTGAGGCCGCCGGGTACTCGGTGGGCTCCTCCTAAGGGGGCTTTCCACCTGGACTGCTTGGAAATACAAGTGTTCCTTGCTCAGAATCACCCTCGGCTCACAACCCGCTCAGACTGCCAGCGACACTGGCAGCTGGGTAGTAATGCCACGGTGCACACTCTTCACACGGGGCCTGGCACACTAAGCACAGTCACATGCCAGTAATCCAGAGGAGAAACACTTGCTCTTGAAAGTCAGGCAATTCGATTAAATGGTGGGACTACTATCTGCACGTGGGGGCGAAGAAATCAACCAAAATAAAACTTGTCCATTAGTAAACTCACAGTGCTTTAGTAATCATGCAAAAGGTTCAGAATATAAAACAGACAACAGAAGGTATGGTGCCTTACCCAAGAGCCCCGCCAGAGACCGCATGTCCTTCTCCATCAGCGTGTAAATCTCTTCCTCCGAGAAGCGGCCAATGCCGTGGCCGTGCATCTCGCGCTTCACGATTCCTTTCGTTATGTGGCACACGACCCACCGCAGCAGGTTACCAAAGGGACCACCGCCATTAAGGGACAGCATCTTCCGGGTCTCATGGAGATTGTCCACCCACTGGCAGTAAGCCAACGTCCTGGAATGGTGTGGAAACAAGTCACAACTACGCATTAGACACGCATTGGCTCCCCAGAGTCCATTTCCAATAAGTGGTTCAGAATTTAGCACACCCTGGAGGGCCCGAATCATTGCAGCTTTTACTAAAAACAGCCTGCATGGCAGATATTACCACAGGCTCTAGTCAATGCTCCGATGGAGGGGCCGTGAGAGAAACTTTAACAGTCCAATAAGGATGCTAATGCTACATTTCCACCAAACCTTACCTGGCACCTGCCCTCAGGCCCACCCCCTCCCCACCTCCCGACACTGTGCTTCTGCTTTCTCTCAGGCAACCCCGCAGAAAACAGGTAGAAACCCACTTTAAGAGGCTCTTAGGCGGGACAGTGCATACCCGTGAAGGCCCAGAACGGGGACAGCAGTGACCCGGGAGCTGCTTTTATTCTCTTTCATGATCTAAGTAATGGCTACACAGGTATAGGCTCTGTGTTAATTAGTGAAACTGCATGTTTTTGTTTTGTATATTTTGTGTGTGCACTTACTTTCCATTTCACAGTATAAGTTTTTTTTTTAAACTTTCTACCTCTTTGACAGAGGATTAGGAAGTAGATATACCTTTCCATGTTTATTATAAACTACATAAATAATAAATATCACATAGATGATTTGCTCTCCAGAGAGTCAACTCTCTGCTCTGTTCTCCAGGACTCTAAAGTGAATACAAATACCAAAGGAACTTGGTTGAATCCCTTCCGCCATTTGGGTGGTGCCTGTGGCAGACCCAGACATCCAGGAGTTCCTACAGAATTCCTAAGGACCACTACGCAGCTACTCGGCATCTGTGTGTTGTGCTGACTGTTAATACCCTGGTCTCTGCTGGTTTTGTTCCCTGGACCTGTGTAATTGCAGGAATGTTTTCATGGCTAATAGTGTTGGTAGATAGAAATTAAAGGGGTTTCCTAATGAAGCCTGAGAAAAATGGGGCTGTGGAAGTACAGACAGAAGATATTTCAGTTTTCTCCCCAGAATGTGCAATCAAAGATGAATTGGCAATCATCTCTACCCCTAGTGTTGACTGATAATAGCAGTAATGGCCACTTGGAAAAAAATCAGAAGAATGTTAACTATTTTTATAGAGAGAATATAAGAGGTAAATTGTACCTAATTTCCACCTCAAGAAAAACAAGGGTGGGGGGGGGGCCTGAAATTTTGATCATTTTATACAGTTCTGCTCTTTGCAGTGCTTTTCATCTAAAACATGAAAATAAGAAACAGAAGGTTCCTCTACAATTTTTTAATCATTCCTGACTTTTACTGAAAATTTCCACAGCCAATTTCAACATACTTTCTATATTGAAGCCATAACTCTTCTTTATTATCTTTTTAAGAGAATGGCTACAAATCTTGTTAGAAAGCTTTATGTCCTTCTTTATTTAAATCTCTTACAATAAGGTAAAAGATCTCACATTTATTCTAGTAAATTCTTTATAAACATGCAAACTAAACGCTCTTCTATTTGCTCTTCTACACCTGTAGTAGTTAAGGTGTCAATTTTCACATTCCATTAGAGTAATTCAGCACTTTGATTCTAATTGTACTGGATCAAAATGCACAATAAAAGGGCTATACCATCCCTCATTATTTTGGCAGTCACTGATGGGAGAATAAAGCTGAGTTATTCTAAGTTAAGCATGACCAGTTAATAACAGCATCCAGGAAGCATCCAAAGCATAAAAATGAGGAATCCGGTGGCTCTAAACTAACAGGGTGATGTGGAAAAAAAAAATACATTCTTTGCAGACAAATTACACAGGTTTTACCATAAGCATAACTGACCCTGAGGGATGAGCAGAAGCTCAGCAGGCAGAGGAGAGGGAGAAGGCGTGTGCAAGAAAGCCCTGGCCAGCCGATGGGCTCCAAGAACTCGAGGACCACGGCGGGGAACAGGAAGCCTGGGGATGCAAGGAAGAGTGGGGGCTGGAAGGCTGGGCCAGGATCCGGCCCACGCGGGCCTGGTGCAAAGGGCACCACACTTCATTTTGAAAGCAAAGATTAACCACTAAAAGGTTCTGAGAAGACAAGAACTGTAAGCAGATCTGTGGCGACGTGAGGGGCTGGAAGTTGGAAGCCCTGGAAGGTTGGTTACAAGGTCACAGTGGGACAGGTAGGAGTGGAAGCGCTGAGCTGAGGTGAAGGCAGACAGGATGGTGTTCAGGGAATGCAGAGGGAAACACCAAGATACGAGAAAAAGAGTCTACCAGCCAATGGATATGCAAGATTAGGGATGAGGAAAAATGAGGTATTTTCTCCCAGGCTGATGGTTTGAGTGGATGCAAATGCCATAAACCAAGACCAGCAAATACCAGGTGTAGCAGCTTTAGGTTAACCTTCCCCGACTAAAGGTCTCATGGACCACCCGTCCCACCCTCCCCCCGCCATGTGAGGATGTCCAGAAGGTTGAGAACTCAGGAGAAAGATTAAGCCTCAAGATAGAGAACTTGTGGGCAGGGGCAAGTCAGTGGCCCTGAGAGAAGAGAGGTCACCTAAGGACGTTTCTAGGGTGAGGAGCGGTATTGGGGAAACCACAGTTCAGGAGCAACTTAGAAGCTAAGGAGGCCACGTGTGAGGGGCCAACCTGGAGAGAAGCAGGGACACAGCCTTCTCAGAGACTGAGGGAAGGAAGGTGCTGGAAGAGGTGAGGGCTGCCGCGAGGTTCACAGTTCCTGCTTGATGATTTCCCTGGCCCAGCAGGAAATGTGGACCGGTGCAGAAGAGGAGGGCGTAGCAACGGGGCAAGGGTTTTCAGAGACTAATGTGTGAGGACGGAAGAGGCAGCTGTTCCGGGCCACACAGAGATGTCACCAACGCAGCGGTGCAAGGTTCTCTCCCTGCGCCGTCAGAGACAGAAGGAGCCCTGGGTCGATCAAGAATTTTGCAGCTAGAGGTGACCTGCCCTGTTCTTGATTTCTCTCCTCGTTCACCCCCTGTGCCCGGTCTGCAGACCAGTGGTGGGGAACAGAAGGAAGTGAGGGCCAGGCAGGCTCTGCAAGGTTCAAGCCCTGTCAAGTGGGTATAAACCTTCAATACCAAAAACTGGTGCCTTATAGATTCCTAAAGCAAGTACTACAGGCAGAGGACATCATCTCTGCATGCTTCCATGTGATTACAACCCAGAGTTCACCTCCTCCCATGACCAAGCTTCCTGACAACTCTACCCCACACGTCACCAACACCACCCAGCCTCATCCAGGTCAACAATCCCTCTTGATTGCAAAATCCAAAAAAAAACTTTCTATGTTCATCTTTCTTTAATTCTTTGCCACAAAATATCTGACACCATTAGTGTCTTTCTTAGAACTCTCCCTTGACTTACATCTCTACTGCTTTTCCTGTCACCTCTTTCACATGCCCAAGATTTTTCACCTTTATTCCTCCTATCTTCGTACTCCACTTGCATGGGGCGATTTAATTCACACCTATGATTTCAAACCGATGACTCCCAAATCCACACCCCGCCCAGTTCTCCATCCCGAGATCCAGGGACCCATGCAAGGGACCCCCAGGGACTGCAAACCAACATTTCTAAAATCGGACTCATCACCTTCCTTCCCTTCAAGTCCGCTCCTGCTTCCCCAGCCAGAATCCCCGGAACTATTCCTCGAGCTACTCCTCGCCCCTCCCCACCCTCCCTCCTGACAGCTGGTCGCCCTGGGAATGTGCCCTTTTCTCCAACTCAGTTAACACTGCACTTCAGCCCTTCAGTATTTCTCGACCCTGAGGACAGTGGCTTCCTAGAAGTTCTCCTGACATCCCCGGAGGCCCTTCAGAAACCCATTTGCCTCAAGGCAGCCACAAAGAACGTCCAAACACAGACGTAAGCGCATCACACCGCTTCTCAGAGCCGTTCATGAACTCCCCAGAGCTCCCTAGCTTGGCCCTCCCCATGGTCTGGCCCAGCTGTGCCCAGCCCTTCTCTAGCCCCATCACCTGGCACTGCCTCCCACCCCTGGGCGCCCGCCATACAGAATTACATGCACCTCCCCAAACTCCTCTCTCTCGCCTCTAAATGGATCTAAAGGGAGAAGCGGCTCCCCTGCCTGGCTATCCTGATCTTCCCCTACCGCCCACCTGCACCCAGCACTCCGATCATCCTTAGATGCTGCTGGGACCCCATCTCCTCTGAGAAGCCCTCCCCTCTCATCTCTCCAGCAGGGGCTAGCTGCCTTTCCTCAGCTCTTCAGACCCCACCCTCAGGACTGACCATTATGAAGGCTCACGTCCCCTCTAGCCTGCGAGTCACGTAAGGACAGAGACCGCTTCTTAGTGCTTTGTTTCCACCATCCCCATCCAACATGGTGCCTGGCCACTAGCAGTCATTTGTTGAGTTTACTGAAATTATGAATTATTGATTGAGTGCAAAAAGGCTTCACTTCTGAGCCAGCTACTGCTAAGCAGTGTTTCTAGGGGCCCTATTTAAATAGAAAAATGGAGAGAAAGGGTACCTATGAAAAGGAAGAAGGGGTGCACTGTTCTCTTCTGAGATCTGTGTTGCCCCCCGACCGGGACGAGGCCCTCTGGACAAGCAGTCATGAATCATAAACTGGAGAGGACAGGGCGGGCCAATTTGGAAACTAGATGAGGCTGAGCAATTCAACTCATTTATTCTGAGAGCCTCTTCCAAGAAGTCGATGCTCACTTTATCGCAACTGATGTATCCGATCTCTCCTGCAAAATGGGGTCAGAGGATTTTTTTAAACATTGATTCTCTTAGAACAGAATAAATCCTGCTCAAACATTTTGAAAGGAGATCAAGAAGACAGGAAAAGCCAGCCCCTGATGTGTGAATGAAGATCCCTCTCCCTATAATGGAACAGGAGGCCTGGCCCACAGCAGAAAGGAAAATTATTATGTGGGAAATGGCAAACTACATAGCAGACTACAGTTTTATGAGTGAGTCTTCGCATGCGGCCTTCCCGGCTGCAAGAATGTCTTTCTCCATTTCATGCTGCCTGCTTGCCA